TGGGCTGGCGAGCAGCTCTTCCCAAAACACAGGGCGGATGGTGGAATAAACGCGGTGATTCAAAGAGGATTTGTCAATACTAAAAATAAACAGGCCCGCAGATGTGTCCTAGAGGGTCATGTACAGGCTCAACATTTTCGGGGCCAATGAGCTGATTTCGGCGATTTTCCGTCTGTGTGTCCTGTCCAAGGTGCTGAAGTTCATTTTGCTGCAATTTCCCTGAATTTCGGGGTTTGGCAGAAGTGGTCTTGGAGGCTTCCTCTCGTCTGAAACTGGTGAGGGGGTTCCCCCCCGGGTGGTATGAAGAAAAAGCAGGGATGTGTTTTCAGACACGTATATTTGATCCCTCCTTTTGGCGTGGGAAAACAGGCCAGGTGGAGACGCAGATGGATCCGGCAGATCCTATAAGCTTTTGGTGGCAGAGAATTGGAAAGGTCAGAGCTGTGAGGCAGTGAGGAGTGAAACCCTCTCATTCTAATGGACCAAGAAAGTGGTGGTTTTGAAAGTGTCAGTTTTGTTGGTTTGAGTGCATTGCCTCAATGAGACATCTGGTTCTGGCAAAGTTGAGGGGAGCCCAGTGCAACAACGGAATGGAGATGATCCAAATGGAATTGAAGTGATATTCACTGATTTTGTTAATATTTTTTTTTTATTCTGATGTAGCCTTTTGAAAGGGCAAACACAGTTGGCAGAGAGCTTCAGAAGTAGAGGGTCCTTTAGAAAAGAAGAATGTCTTTTGGGGGCAAATGTCTCAACATGTAAGCAACAGAAGCCTGTCCTGCAAGTTGTGATATTTTTAGATTAAAGTGACAAAAGGTCTCAGCCTCGAGTAGTGGAGTTTATGTAACTTTGGTAGAGACAGATCACAGTATTGCCAGAAATAATCACAGATTAATATTTTACTTAACTTGTTCATGATTGGAGTTCAATACTGTCACATGGTTTTTCTCAGATCTTGACACTCATTCTGACTCATTCATAATGCAGCTTTGTACTTCTGTCTGACACTCCGAGGGTTTTACAAACACGAAGGGTCAGATTCTAAGGCCAGTGTTCTCCCACAGAAGTAGGTTTTGCTGTGAGGAGTCCTGCAGATTTAAAGCATGCCAGAACTCTGTACAGTGTGGTAGAGAACTGATACTGTTTCATGCCCTGAATCATTCGTCAGAGCTCACAAAGGTATTCGGTTGCATCATTGGGTATGTAGCCTAAATACCTTGACCATGAAGGGGGTATGTAGACCACGAGACTTCATGACTCTGAATGACATCTTATGGGTACAGACTTTAAAACTGCAACAGAGTTGAGAGCATTGTATTCCTGACTTGAATGAGAAACTGGCCCTGGTTCTCGCTGTGATGGACTAACACCTGTGGCACCGGCTAACATCTCTCAGGACTTTTACAGGTTACAGGAAAATGTTGAGTGGTTGCTGTGTTCTTGGTTTAAATGTGTTGTCAAAATTATATTCAAAAATTTGCTGTTAGGAAATGACATCCTAAACTGGCATGGGAGATTTACGAAATATAGCTAGTTAGTTTTAATTTCTTTAAAATATCCTGTTTATGATATTAAATAGGGATTGGTTTGTCTTCCCATTACCATTTTCTGCTCAATATCTTGAAAGAATCCTCTGTGTATGCATGTGAGTAAAGAACATGATGGCTTGCATATTAAAACATGTTGGTTGTCATTTGGAAAGCCTGGTCATGCTTTTCAAAAGGAACAGGCTGTCACCTGTTATCACTTTAGATGCCTTAGGTTTTGGAAGCTCAACTTGAAAAACATAGAAGAGACCTTTTGTTTTCAGAGAGTGAGTGCTCAGTTCTTCCTGAAAATTGCTACCTTGTAAGTTGTCTCTGAACATCCTCAAGAATCACTTCTGAAAATTATAGCCCTAATAGTTAAAAAGTGACAACAACTAATTTCTGAGTTCTGTAAAATAAAACTTTGGTAACACAGAAGCAGCATCACTCTTAAATATACACTTGACCTTTCTGCTTTGTGTTCACATGTTGTCTTCAGGTAGGGCCTTAATCAAAGTATACAGCAATTTATATTTGGAATTCTGTCATCACTTCTCACTTGCACCATCTAGCCTGTAGGAAAACATATGAAGTCAGTTGGGTATACTTCTATTTGATCATAGTGAATATCTCTTTAACAGTATCATGTGTGACTGCAAAAATGTTCAGATAAACGTGTGTTTATTTATCTTTTAAATAGGATTGTCCTTATGAATATCTACCAAAAGGAAACCCTGGTTGTATTTCTGTTGATCTTGGTTTATTATTTAGTCTGCAAACAAAACTGATGGGCCCACTTTGACCTGTCTCTGTCTCTTTGGGTTTCTCTTGCAAAGTGACAGTTTCTAAATCAGGAAGAAAATCAGGTCACATTTCTGGCTCTACAGGATTTATCTCATTGCTCTTCTTTCAAAGTAATTAGAGTTACTAATAATGAGGAAGAGAAAACTTTTCCAGAACTGTAATGTCCCTAACTCCTCTCTCCTTCTGGCAGTTTTTGTGTCACTGAAGAGATCCACGTAGTTCAGAAAGTTTGTTGTGGAGGATCCTTTTGCTCCATCATACACATGGTATCTTCCTTTTAGTTTAACTGCAGGTGATCTGGTCAGTCTTGCAAATGTACCTTCTTTTCCTTAGGTTAATTATGTCTCCTTATTTATTTCCCAGTCATTCTGGGATGGTGTTACTGGACCAGCTCCGGGCTGTCCAGTTGCAGTGAGCGAGATCCCGGATTTCAGGTTGGAAGAAGAAAAAGGGCACATCTACCGAAGTTATCGCATATCCCAGTCCCTAGCTGACTCAGGACAGAGTGGTTTTGTTAAATGCATGTAGTACCAGCTGTCATAATTGCCCCTTCTACGCCTCTTTTTCAGGTTTCTTATCAGTCTGACTTCACAAAGCCAAATTCCCAACAAAGATGGCAAAAGAACGACAAAAATTCCCTCTCTTCTCACACGCCCACCTTTGAGGAGGTGTGGCCTGGCCTTCCACGAGGAGGTCACCTTGTGAATCTTTTGTGTGCAAAATTTTCATCAGTGTCAAAAGATTCCTTATCCTTCATGGCAAAACCATGCCTCCTTGCTCTTTGTATTGAACAAAGCCTTTTTTAATCACAGTTCTGCATGACAGGAATGGCTTGGGTTTTATTTTTGTCGTAATATTGCAAGAGCTTTTTGAATTAAGAGATCTGACACATCAAATAGTACTACTGTTGTACCAAAACATGCAGAAAAAAAATTAAATTCTCCTAAGCTCCAAGTTTTCTCTTTTCCCTTTTTTATTTGATTTTAAAATCAGAGGTTTTCTTTTATATCTTGGAAAAAATAAGTCCATTCTTTACTGGATTATTTATTTCATCTCTCAGCTTGAATTGAGCTTTCTTGCTTTGCTAAATTTCTGCCAAAGAGGCTTTTTACTGCAGTGCTGAGAGCCCTACCAACAGGTTGTAGGTTCTTTTTAAAGCTTGCTGGATTCCTAAGGTGCTAAAACTGCTCTGCATTCAAGTTATCACTTGAAAGATATCTGCAACTTGTGCTTTATTAATTTTAATCCAACTGCAATATTAGTATGGAATACATAAAAAGTCTTACTGATTTTAATTGCAAGTTTGTAAAAGTTAGGTAACTGAATGCAGACTGTGGTGTGTTGGAAGAAATGAGTCTTTCTCAATATTCATGGCATGTGAAGCCTGACTGTGAACACTAAGCCTAAGGTTTTAGGGTTTTGAAGGGTTCTTGGGAGGTGTGAGTTGTGGTTGAGGTTTTTTGCCTGCTGACTTTAAGGCTTAAGAGAAAATAAAACAGATCTCTATGATACAAAGCTATAGAAAAACTTGTTGATGGGCAATTTTTTTTTAAGACCTGCTAACTGAAGGTAGATTAAAGATTAACTTTTTAGGCCAAAATCCATTCTTAAAAACTGTATTATTTCTAAAGTTATTTTCCCGAGATTCTTTTCCTTATCATAATGAAATGGTCACTTTTGCCCCCAAAAGTGGTCAATTTTGTTATTGTCTTGGTGGCTGAATATGCCACTGTTCTGCCTGGCTGGCTTGCAGCATGTTGGGTCTAACAAGCTTTATGTGCATGAAGGCTTCAGGTTTACAGAACCTTGGTCCTGGGAAATCAAAACAGGACAGCACAGAGGGATCACTTCTAGTTATTTCCAGTGAGCAAAAATTTACCCCTGTAGGAGCCAGCTTGGATTTTATGCCCCACTACCAGCCCTTTTTGGTCCTCTGAGGAGCATCTCTGTTGCCAGGCTGTGCGAGGTCAGACACTGCCCTTGGGAAATCCCAAAAAACATGAACTTTAGAAAGAAGCGATGATAAATAAAGAAAGCTCCCTCACCACGGTGTAAAGCTCCTAAAGAGGAGAAACTCTGTCATGAAGTTTTTGGGTTTCCCTGTGATGTAGAGTGGGCAGAGGTTTAGGGAGAGTGATGTTAGTGGGAGGCTCTCGGGGATAGGAGGGAGCACCTTTAAAGTGTTACAGCCTGACCTGCAGACAGGCACTTGGTGTTGTCTGAGGCCTGACACATTAGTGGCCGTTACATAATGCACAATTATAAAATCACACCAAAGCCTCTTTAAAATACCTGCCTGATTATAACCGGGTAATTACGCCGCATTTAACAGAGATGAGTGCTGCGGGGAAGGGACCCCCCTGCACCAAAACTTGTTCCCCTGCCTGCCACATCAGATGCAGCCAATGGTGCCGTTCTGCTGGCCCGTGGAAGCCCCAGACCCTCCAAAGCCCCCCACGGCGGTGTGCCGGCTCTCGTGTTACAGGGGTTGTCCTTTCCTTCCGGACGAGGGTTTCTGGCTGTCGCTGCTCCCCATATTAGTACAGCCAGAGCGACGCCGTGACGCGGCCGCCCTCTCTCCCTCCCCGGGGCCCAGCACATCGTCTTCTCCGCTGCCTCCCCAGCCTTATTCCCAGCCTCTGGCATCGAGTTATGCGCAGCTCCCGTGCTGCTGGGGGGGCCAAAGGCATTGCCGGCCGTGTCCGCAGCAAGAGGGTCTGGAAAGCACTGCAAGTATCTTAAGAATTGTTTTGTTTTTTTTTTTCTCCCTCCTCTGTCTCTTTTCAAAAGTGTTTCACGTCGAGAGGTCTGATCTCCCTCGATGCGTGCGTGTGGTTCTCATTCATGTGAGAGCAGGGGCTGCTCCGGCGTGTGTCGTGTGTCCCTTGGGAAATAACCCTTTCGGAGTTGCAGTGCGTGGCAAAGTTCCCCCCCCGGTTTGCTGCGGTCCTCGTAGCTCTTTCCTTCCCCGTGCCCGTCAAACAGAGGGATGAATCCTCCTCTCGGCTCTGCCGGTGTAAATCCAGATCGATTTGTTTGACTTCAGCAGAGCTAATCCAGATTTACACGGCCCCTTCCCTGAGGACTTCCCCCGTTTTTTGCTCTAGGTGACCGTTAGTGGGCCAATGTCAAAATACAAATGATCTAGTCAGATTCCCTGTCTCCAATCATTAATTATTCTCTGGCAAAAGTTTCTGAGGAAGAGCGGTTGTATTTGAAAACAATATACAAATTCTGTTGCTAATTTTAGAAAGTAAGGGAGATTTTTTTTTTTCCCTCCCGTTGAAACTAAATATAATTTGAAAGATAATGTACAAAGACTTAAATATAGCACTCAATTATACATTGCATATGAATGGTTTCTCTTGGTTTTAACATGTTTAGTTTGTTTTTCCATCTTTCTCAGCAGACAGCTGTTAGATAAAGAGAGAAAAGTAAATAGTTGTTATGAAACTGAACGTCATAGCTAAAGGGAACAAAAAAAAGGAATCATCATATGAATATGGAAAGATAAAGACAAAATAAATCCTATCTGTGCTTTTCCCCTTTGCCCCATCATTTTATGGCACTTCTGTAGTAGTACTTTAGCTAAAGAAGTACTTTAGTGTTTCTAGAACAAATTTCCATCATGCTCATGTCCCTACTGTGTTCAGGCAGTTTTGAATTGAGGCTCCAAATCCTTCATGGGAGGATAAAACTGGGGTAGAAACTTTCCCAGGAAAATCTCTGTGGTTTTGGGTTCTTTTACCTTTAGTGGAAGTTTTGCTTGACTTACACTGAGTTTGCTTTTCTATGAAGTTGCTAAACTTGACGACCCTCAAAAGTTTTGTTATGTCCATACGGTGTCTGAACAAGCACCTGCAAGGTGTACAGATGTCCTTCTGACTGCACAGGATAGCTTGAAGAGCTTGCTTTCTCCGGTAGTTGTGAGACGCAGCACTGCTCCTCACATGTCATTACACCCAGGAAAAATTGTTCTTTTTGTTAAAATTTTCTCGAGGTTTTTCCCTGTTTTGTGAAACCTGAGCAGTGCTGGGCTGGCGGGTTCTTGCTCTGTGTGTTGTGTGTTCAACAGTCAGGTCCCGGTGCAGATCTCTGCTTTTTAGCTGCTTCTTAGGGCAGGCCAGAAAGAACCTAGAAATGCCACACTGGGAAACACATTGCCTTCTTTTATAGAGATATGCAGAATGGCATAAAAGACCTTTAGAATAAAAATAACAATAACTAAAAAAAAAGACCAAAATTATGATTGTGGACTCCTGGGAACAGGGCAAGTGACTGTGTATGAGCTTATGATCTGAAAACATTGAAATATTCTGGGCTGTGGTTTTCTTTTATTAATTATCCTAAGTGATGTTCAGAACCTGAAACCAAGGCTTTTAGACACATCTCTGGTGCCTAATTCTGCTCGCTGTCTCATAACAGGGTGAATCAGGAGGCTGTTTATTGAAGTCAGTGATGCAGTGTCGATGTAAAAGCGACATAAGGGAGATGGAGGATTTGTTTACGAGCATAAAAGTCCCCTGGACAGTTTAACACTAACAGAGAAAATCACTGAATAGCTGCAAAGCACAGAGCTTAAATGTATCTGAAATAAGTTTTCTGGAGCATTTCCAGAACTATTTTAAGAGCCTGATCCAGAGCCTGGTGAAGCCAAAGGTAAAACTCCTTTTGACTTCTTCAGAGCTGACATTACACTTTGAAACATCATTCCCTCTCTGAAATTTTCTAAAGCTGGCTTTTAGATGGTTTTTAATTAACCATTATGCCAGATGTAATGTCTTTTTTATCTCTCTCGTGCTTGGATTTGTTAAATATAAGAAAGAAATAATAGCACAATTCCTTTTTTCGCACAGGAAATTCTGATTTCCTCTGTATTTAGTCATTAGTTGCACAAGCCACAAAAACTCATCTTCTGTTGCTCTGTTTCTCTGTTGGTTTGCCTTTGTGTCTCTCTCTTATCCTCTAGCTTTTGAACCCACTGGACAATTTGATTCAGAGGTTCAGGACTAGAAAATATTTGGGGTTTGTGAGTGCTGTTAAAGGATGTTCCTGGATTGACAATAGACAGACTCAAGGAGTGTAAGAAAGTGTAATGTAAGAAAGTGGCCAGGGGGTGACCCAGCCACATACTACACAGCTATGGATCCACCAGAACTCCATAGGGGAGCACATTACTTCAGTAATGTGTGTTGACAGAATTTTTAATGCTATTCCATATTATATTGCATTTTATGTTTAATGTCCCATTTCCAGGCCAGTCACTGCTTCACCTACACCAACCATGTCCACGAAATCAGGTAATGCCAAGTGTGGACTGTAACTGTATAGTTTTAAAGGGGACTTGGAAACAAAGCCCTGGGATCTCAGCACCTTTAGGAATAATCTGAAAAGGTTCCATTATATGGATTTAGTGCTGGATCCAAACCTGCTGAAGATCCCAGTTGGCTTCAGGAGGTTGTGGATAGGTCTGCATGTGCCATATGCTGAGGAGTGGGTGTCAGGAGTCAGGGACTAAGGGTGCCTTGAGAGAGCTTGAGGTCCTGTTGAAAGACTGGAGGAGGTGAAAGTGGGATGATGTCCCAGAGGACTATGGCCCTCCTGCTCTAATCCTGCCCCATGCACTGTTATATCTGAGGCTCCTTGTGTGCAAGGGGAATGTTTGACTGTATCAGCATTGCTGCCCAACTTATGTTCATCAGATATGAATACATCTAATAACCATTTTTATGCATATAGAGATAAATATATCTGTTTTATTTATATATGTATATATATAAAAAAAATATAAAACCAAATCAGGAAAGAAGCAAAGACATGGAAAATGCCATTTCCAGCTCCACCAGTTGTGTACTCCCCATTCTGCTGGGAACTGGCATATCTGTGGTGTCAGATGGCATATGTGTGCCCAGCTAGAAGGTGCTGTAAACCAGGACGAGAGGCAGCAGGGATCGCACCGAGGATACCCCTGAGCTTTGTGTGTCCATGCAACGAGGCTGTGGCTGTTTCTCCCCCGGCCCTCGGCCCGACCATCGCTGCGAGTGGTGCGAGGAAGGGAAAATGGAGGGTGTCCCTGACCCCGGTAATCTCCAGCTGCCACCGAGCCTCCCGGGAGGCACCCGCGGCCAGCGCAGATTAACACAGCCCACAGCAGGGACTGGCCTGCAGCCAGCATGGCCCCGGGATCAAAGGAGCGTGGAGGTGGCTGAGAGCCACCTTCGGGCTCCTCCTCCTCGCCTCGCTCTGCCACAGCTTTTGCCTCCCCCGATTAATCAAACCCACCCTCTGCCGTCGTTGCAGATCAATATGCTTTCCCCCTCCCCCTGTATCTTGCATAGGGTGTTTATGTCCAGGTGTGCTTTCAGAGCTAATAATTGGCACAGAGTCACCTTTCTTAAGGATCTTGCCAGGGGAGCGACGTGCACACGTGCTGGCTGCCTTTTTTCTTGATGAACAGAAACAGGGGCTTCTGGCCCCAAAAGATAAACCGTGACGGCGCAAAGCTGGGAACCATCGTGAGGTTGTCATAGGCAGATCCAGTGCAGAGGCATGTAATGAGCAGTGCCCAGTTCTCTACAGTCCTCTAGGATCAGGAGGGAGCAACATGCAGCATTACCTTTGAGTTTAAAAGGTCACAAGGCCCCAGGGAAAACACAGGCATTGGCATACACAGCACTGGAAATGGTGTATTTTATTGGCAAGCTAGTGCCTTGGTTTGGTTTGCAGGGGGTGGTCTACACCAGAAGCTTTATTTCTGTTAGAGAGGTTATTTTTGATGGCTGTTTGTTTACCTGACCCAGGAGGACAGTGTTTTAAAACACCTTTTGGAGGGACTGTCAGTGTTGTCCCTATGAATTCCAGCAGCCCAAAAATGCAGAGGCTGTTTCCTGCTGCATGGGTGAGCCCTTTCAGGGAGGTTCCTCATCCCATGCACTCCCTTTGGGCACCTTCATTTTCAGCTTCTCAGCTCTGGGCAGTTTTGTAAAGCAGGGAGTGTTGCTGACCAGTGGCAGGGCCATACAACTGCCAACCACCCCACCAGCCCTTGGGTCAATAGGTTTGTTTTCCAAGGTGGGGCTGGTGCCAGCTGCACTGTTTTTATGGTGTGATGGTCCCCGGAGGTGGCCAAGGAGTAACTCTGCCTTAACTTCTGTGCATCTGTTGTTTATCCTTTCCCAGTATTAACCCAAAGTCCTGCCCAGACAGGAAACAACCCAAGCAACAACCTGGAGGAATGCCCTTGCAAGGGCATTTTCTCCTCTCACTTCAGTGGACCAGAGTCTCACCTTGAATGCAGAGCAACATCACTTCATGCTCATTTTAAATTGTGGTTTGCAGGACCACGTGGCCCAGAGCAGGACTCAAAAAGCATCATCTCACATATTTAGGTCTATGGGATGCCAAATATGTTGAATATTTTCTCCCCAATGTCAGTTTGAAAGCTAGTTTTATAGTCACAGCTAGCTTTGCATATGTTTGAATCGTTCCCCGCTACATGATTTTTTCCAGGAGGTTCCTATAACATTAATGAATGTGAAAGTTGTGATTAGCATGGGAGATCATTGCTTATAGCAACTACACAGTGTATTAGGCCACCCATCAGTCTTGCTGTTAGAGCACTCTGCAGAATTCAATAAGCAGCGTTATTTGCACAGTTGCCTTTAGGAGCTTGAGAAACTTTGCAAAACGTCTTATAATCTAGGCAAAAGCTTTGCTACAAAGCAAGTTCACTT